ATTGATCACAATACACAAACCATCTTTGAAAAGACATGCATTCAATTAACTATGTTTGCCTTTAGTTTCAACATCTATGACAAACACTTTATTTGAAGGATAATCTCCTTTTATGTTTGACCTGCTGTCTTACTGTTTTCACTTGGCTCCAATTGGATTAATTGCAGTGTATTTCAACTGGGGCTTTATAGCTCCACATTTTATGATGGTATAATGTAATAATAATCCTTGCATTTTATATAACACCTTATCACGTTCAGACATCTCAATGTGGTTCACGGGATACGCTGTAAAGTGGAGTGACTATATATTTTGTGAGAGAAGGCAGCAGCCAATTTATGCTCAGCAATCTCCCAATGGAAAAAGTAACCATAGAAGCACATGCTGTGTCAGGCAGTAGGAAATGATGACTAAGAGAAGCAGGAGCCCAAGAGGAAGAGGGATGTTCTTACAGCATACAACTGGGTCTGTTGTCCTGGCTCAAACACTAACATAATTCCCTCTCAACACTTCACTTCACTTCAGAAAGATCTGAAGGTTAATGGGGGGTGTGTGAGGTGAGTTTAAGTACCACTTGTTGATAACAGCTTTATGAGATGACTTACGTTGATAGAAGGTGATCATTTTTATTTGATAGAGCGCCTTTCGAGTCAGGAGGACGTCTCAAAGTGTTTCACAGGATTTACTGTCAAGTGTGGTGACTGTGGATTTATGTAGGCAAACACAGTGGCCAAGTTAGGATAAGTCAGCCGTAAGATGTTTGCAATATACATTAGGATTGTTAGCTAACTGAATTATGAATGAAAAGGAAACATGTGCTGATGTGAAATACGTACACCAGTCCTGAAATAAAAAGAAACAATTAAATCGGATTCAAGCTTATGTAATTGATTTGGGGCAAGTTGTCAGCATGAGAAAAAGGCTTTAATAGTCAAAACATGAGAGAAGTTCGGAAGAGGGAATTATTTACACCATTTAGAATTTTAAATGGAATGAGGTGTTAAGAAATTGGTATCAAAATCTCGCACTTGGTACACGTCGTATGTCTTACGCTACACGTCTTACTCTAGGATTGTTGCTCAGTGGTTTTGTTTAAAATCATTTTTTGCATTTGGCTCCCTTTTTGTGCTGTTCAAGACGAAAAGCGCTGTAAATGTCAGTGCTGCAAAAACTCAACACTTCCATCCCAGCGAAGCATTAGACGCGCCTGCATCAGTTAGAGCAGGAACCATGGGTGAGATTTTTCACTGAGTGTTGAATATATTGACCTTGGCACCAACTGCAAATGTAACAAGATTTTCCCAGGTTGAGAATTAATCTGACGTCTTCTGTATAAATAAATACATGATCAGCAAAAAGTGCAAAAACAAGGCCGAGGGGAAGAGATTCCACCTGAGTCCGGGTTTACTCCATTCCCTATTCATCCGGAATTTCGCTGATTCCTAAATGCGGCCTTAGCTCTGAAGCCATTTTCCTTCATAGTTCTTTCAAAAACGAACAGAAAAACGGCTTCAAAGTTAAGCCCGAATTCATCAAATTTCCAAATTCAAGAGATTCTTAAATTAAAGTAGATGGAGTAACTGGAGACTGAGGTGGAATTCTTTCCCTATATGCTGCCAGCTTTTCTTTCACCCCCCCCCCCCCGCCACCTACATTCCAATACGTTTTTCTAGTGTCTTTGCCCACTTACACTAACTGTACACTTTTATTTATATCTGACTGTGCTGCTAAGCTATCAGAATGGGCAGGAATTTTAAGAAGAATAATCAGAATCCTTGCCTTGGATACAGCGCCTTATCACATCGTCGAGACGTCTCGAAGCGCTTCACAGAATACACTGTAAAGTGAACCGACTGTATATTTTGTGGGTTAAAATGTTCTTCTGCGCAGCGAGTGCAGCCACAGCAAGTTTCCTTCAGCACCTGTCATTGTTGGTTTACAACGTTGATTTATAAATCACTGACTGACATTTCAGAAACCTGAGCTCAGCCGTCCAGATGTTGGTACCTTTAAGTACAGTAAGCACCACCATCTGAGCCGCCCTTTACCTGAGCATTGACTCCTCATCGTTGATTGTAATGGCCAGCCCTTGGCTGATCTGATCCCGATTTTAAACGTGCGTGGCTAAAGGTTATCCGAGGTTATCCGATCGGATCCAAAAGCGTAACTCGCGCAAGCGCCTTTAACTTTTGAAGCTTGACGGAAAGCGTTAACGTTTGCAAGCTGGTAAAAGCAAGTTACAACCGATGACTAGCGTTCTCGTGCAATCAAGCGCTCTGAGACGCTACCCTGTGTGAGGGGCTCTATCTAAATAAATGTAAGTTGTTGCCGTTAAGCGGAGCACATAATAGCGGTGCAGGTTTCGAAAAGGTTGTGCGGACTGTGTGTGGACCGTCAGGGACGGGAGGACAGCTTCTGTACTTTACGTATCGGAGCGAAAAGATTCAAATCAAAGGCATTTGGAGTGCAAGTGAATTGCTTCGACGCTGGGCTGATCACTCTTCATAATAATTCCGATAATCCTTGCATTTGATACAGCAGATTATAAATGATAACTGTGCTGCAAACACCAAATTTAAAAAAATCTCTCACACACATACACACACACACACACCTATTCAGAGAATACCAGGGTGCATTTCAGACAAGTTCAGGCAAAGACTAGCAGTCAAAATGTGGTGGGTTAATCCAGTTGCCTTTCACAAAGCCCAGAGTGATGGTCTGCTTTGCTTTGAAAGGATGCAATCTGTCTCCCAGCTCAGTTTGCTGAGTTCCCTCTTTTACACACTGAGTCAGAAGCCTCGCCTTTTGTCCATCTCCTGTGGAATCCAGACACCCAGAGGAGCTTTCACAGCAGGGACAGGGCTGGGAAGACATCATTTGGTGTGGTTACTTCTGCCCAGACTGTTTTGGGGCGAGAGGAGAAAGATCTCAGAGATGCTGGGGCTGTGATTCCAGCTTTCTCTCCTGGTCTATTTCTAAAGATGAACCTTGGACACAGGAGGCACATTGATTGGGTGTTTGGTGGATTGGGGAGTGGGTTTGAAAGGCATCGACCCTCCAGGATTTCAAGGCAACAGCAGCTGTCGCACTCTTAACATGGTGAGTTTCACCTTCTTGTGGCTTCTCGAGAATTAAAACGCATTTTTGCACAGTTTGGGGTTTTAATTTCTGCAAAGAGTGAAGGTATTTTTTTAAGTCAAGTGCAGGCAAGAGGTTTGGGGGTTTAAAAGGGAGGGTTTGGGGTGCAAGGATGAAGGATGCTTTCCTTGTGGCAATGCTTCTCTCATCTCAAACCATCTCTCTCTCTCTCTCTCTCTCTTCTCTCTCTCTCTCTCACACACACAGACACACACCACACTCTCTCTCTCTCTCTCTCTGCACTCTGGCAACCTCTCTGTTAGCTCCAGCTCTGCTCTCAGGTTTGTTGGAATAACTTTCCAGCTGTGTCAGGACCACGTAGATTGAGTTTAAAGATTGCCAACAGCATTGCATTGCATTGCCTTTATATATATATATGTATTGTATATATATGTGTGTGTAAATATATATCTGCATCTGCATTCACACAGTGTGAAATGACATGTGTTGCCATTTCACCTTCCCTCAGGGACTTGTGTAGACACATCTGAACCTCCAAACACAGGGTATTTTACACATTATAACATTGTGGGGGAGTAAAAACACACGTTGACTGTCTTTGACATACTGTATTACACAGTGCACGTTTCCTACCTCTTGCTTTATTTACGACTTTTTTTAAAAAAAAACACAGAAAAACCCATAAAGTCCTACTTTTCTGGACGTTTTGGAATGCTTTGCCATTGCAAAATGCAAGAGTTTGAAAGCTGCATTGTAGTGTGAGTTGAAGAAGTGGGAATAAAAAAAATCACATTTCTCAGTTAAAATGAGATGACCGTAGAAAACGATGGGTGAATTCTTACCAGAACAGGGAGGAAGTGTTTCAGCTCTTAGCGAATAGCGAATAACGCAATGTAGGGCTAATGGGATAAAATGAACAGTTCCAGAGGGATGTGCCTTAAGTTTAAACGCTTCGAGGTGCCACAACCTGTGTGAAGGGCACTATATAAATGCAAGTTATTGCAGTTATTGTCGTTGTTCTGGTACTTAAAGTGTATGTGTAGGAGTGAAAAGATTACATCAGAGGGAATGAAAACCAACACTGAAACATTATCATCAGCCCCTCAGCTCAGTTTAAACTTATGTTTTTTTATTTGAGGGGATGAATCATGTAAATCATGTACCAGGTTGGTAAAGGTGATTGGGGTTTGTGGATGGAAGCAAATGTTTCTTAACAAAAAGAAGTTTATTCCAGCTGATTGAAGTCACGCTCCTTCCCATCCATGTCACGACTGTCCATCCGTCAATTCACTTCACGATATATTCTGTGAAGCGCTTTGAGACGTCTCAACCGCTTGATAGGACGCTATATCAAGTGCAAAGATTATTATTATTATTGGCGCTGGAGGCGTGAACCTGCATCTGCTCTCAGCCTGTGTTTGTCTTCTTGGTGTTGTCTTAAAATTTTGAAGGTGCGGAAAACCGACTTCCGAGCTAAAGACGGGATTTAGGAATTTTTCCGCAGGTCTACACCGTCTTAAATAACGATAATAATCCTCGCGTTCGACATAGCGCCTTATCAGGTCACGTTGAGCCGTCTCAAAGCGCTTTCGCAGAATATACTTTAAAGTGAATTGACCGTGTATTTAGTGGGCGAGATATTGTAAAGTGGATCGACTGTGTATTTTTGTCGGCAAAGCGCCCTCTTATAAACGGCGACGGTTCAAGGGTTCGCCATTTAACCGTTCGCCAGACGGTTCGCCTGCAGGTTCGCCATTTAAGGTGGTGCGGAATTGTGTAGCGCAGTTTCGCCTGTAACTTCGCCTGCCACGCGAGCATTTCTGTCTGACACCTCCTCGTTCCTCCTCCTCCTCGTGCTCAGGTGACTTCGTCGCGGGCTGCGACTCACTAACGTCACCATGCCCATCATCTCCCGAGGCAACGACCACGATTACAGCAACCTGAGCTCCAGCTCGTCTGGCTCGCTCGATCAGATCGCACCCGTCTGTCAACCCGAAACCCCTCCCGTCAAAGGGGCGTACTACCGGCGTTCCACACGGATCCTCCGCCGCTCGGGACTAAAGCCCTCCCCGGGCCAGAGGCAGCACGTCACCATCAACGTGGGGGGAAACAAGTACCTGGTGCCCTGGAGCACTCTGGACGAGTTCCCGCTGACGAGACTTGGGAGGTTAAAGGGCTGCAACAGCTACGACGAAATCGTGCAGATCTGCGACGATTACGACGAGGATTCCAACGAGTTTTTCTTCGACAGGAACCCGCGGGCTTTCCGCATGATCATGACCTTCGTGTCCGCCGGGAAGCTCCGGCTCCTGAGAGAGATGTGCGTCATGTCCTTCCGAGACGAGCTCGTCTACTGGGGCATCGAGGAAGCCAGCCTGGAGAGCTGCTGTCACAGGAAGCTGCTTCATAAGGCTCATCAAGTGGCTGAGATGAAGAGGGGAGATGGGGAGGCTGAACTCAGCAAGGCGAAAGCAAAGGTTTTGGCTGAGAGCACCAAGTTCGGTGACTGTATGAACAAACTTCACGATATGGTGGAAAACCCAGAGTCGGGAATTCCCGGCAAGGTGTTTGCGTGTCTGTCCATCTTGTTTGTGGTCGTTACTGTGATAAGCGTTTGCGTCAGCACAATGCCAGATATCCGATTGGAAGAAGACAAGGTAAGGCTGCTTATTGAACAAGGTATATTTGCATGAATCCGGCGGAGGGTCGGGTTAAAATGCAGCATGTGTTGTGAGAATTGCCACATGTCGCATTTTCACTCCCTGGTTTTTTCATTACCCTGTGACCTCCCATCTTTATTACCTCAAGCCTTGGTTCTTGCCATCCTGAGCCTAATACTTTCCGGAAATAGGTAACCAGGGGAGAGTGTTCGCATTCGCATCCCATTCCTACAATCTGTCTCTGGAATTTCCATGTGCAGGTTGGATGCATGGAATTCTCAGCTTGGTTCGGATGCGTGTGTCAGACATTTTTGTCCCCCCCCCCCCCCCCTGCACACCAAATAATCTTTATTATCTGGTGTGTGAAATTTAGGCAGAATGCTGGATAAATTTTTTTCTGTGTGTGTATGTCAGCGTTCCAGAATCACGGCATTTTTGCAATTTGATATCTTGATCCCAGTTGCACAGAACTCTTGTCTTGATCGGATAAACTGATCTAAACGCATGCATTTTCTTTCCCGTGAAATTAAACCACCTCCTGTTGCAGTGTTAAGTGAGATGTTCTTCCAGCACAAAATGCATGAAATGACGAGGTGTAGATGATAGAACTTTCAGGGACATTCTTAACAGGTGATCACTTTGCAAAACATCTGTTTATACAGAGCAACACATTTGCACAGTGTTTAAAACTATATTTGAAACCTCCATGCCCAGTGTCTTGCATGTTGTGTGTTTTTTTTCCCCATTATGGCTCTGAGGTTATATTCTGTTTATCTTGTAAGGAATCAAAAGACCTCTACATAATCCAGAAAATGGGATTAATCTTCCTGGGTTTGTCAATGCCAGCAATACACTCTTTTTGTCAAACATCAAACATGTAGTTTTGACAGACCATCAGCCCACACTCCTGTGTGTATCTGTTGTACAGTAAGCTGACAAGTATCGAGTGTTCATCCTCTGCATGCTGATCTTTATTGCTCTAAAATAGGAGAACATTCGTTTTGTGATTACTTACACACGAGGAAAGAAAGTCATTTTACCCTCCAACGCATGTCCAGTCTGTTGGTTAAATATGGTCAACTGCAGAACCTGTTAATCACAAGATCGGTTTGGATGAAGAAAGCCCTTTGGCCCATCTGATCTTATCCCAATAGAGCACCCACCCTCATCACAACCTCTTTTTAAATGAGTCCCAGTATACTGGCCTCAAATACTCTTCCTGTTCCAGTCGTTAATTACCCTTGAAGTAAAGGAAAACCTCTTGGTGTCTGTCCTGAAATTGCCCTTTGGAAAAGAATGAGTACGTTCATCTCAGAGCTAACGGTTGAAAAGCAATGTAGAGGTGAAAAGGGGAGCTTTTTAAAACTGTAATTATTACAGTAACGGAAATGATATTTGATGAGGTGCTGATCGGAGTTGATTCCTTATTTCTTATTGTCTCTGCATATTTTTTCTTATTGCTTCTTGTTAGATTGATGTTGTTGTTGTTGTTATCCACTTACCCTGCATGGTGCTGGTCTGTTTGTGTGTTTTGACTATAGGGCAAATGTTCCCAGAGGTGCCGTAACATGTTTATAATTGAAACGATCTGCGTGGGCTGGTTTTCTTTGGAGTTCATCCTTCGGTTCATACAAGCCCGCAGCAAGTGGCAGTTCCTGAGAAGCCCCTTGAACATCATAGACATTTTGGCCATTCTGCCGTACTATGTTTCCCTTCTGGTGGACAAGGGACCCGAAGGAGGTCGCAAACCTTCGGGAGGTAACATCTACCTGGAGAAACTGGGGCTGGTGCTCAGGGTGTTACGGGCCTTGAGGATCCTGTACGTCATGAGACTCGCCAGGCACTCGCTCGGACTCCAGACCCTCGGCCTCACGATCCGCCGCTGTGTTCGGGAGATCGGCCTCTTGCTCCTCTTCCTGTGCGTGTCGGTGACCTTGTTCGCCCCGCTCGTCTACCTGGCGGAGAACGAGGCGGGCAAAGGCTTCAGCAGCATCCCCGCCTCCTATTGGTGGGCCATCATCTCCATGACGACGGTCGGCTACGGAGACATGGTACCCAGGAGCATCGCTGGTCAGGTGGTGGCACTGAGCAGCATCCTCAGCGGCATCCTGATTATGGCGTTCCCAGCCACCTCCATCTTCCACACCTTTTCCCTTTCATACCTGGAGCTGAAACAGCAGCAGGCCAGAGTGCAGGCACGCCTGAACCTCATCCAGCAATCGCTGGAGACCCCCCATCACCAGGGCAGCAACGACACCGAACATCTCATTTCTGCCGCTCCCTGCACAGTCGGTGAAACTCAAACGACAGAGAAAAAATCTTTCAGTTACTTATAGTTTGCATCTGCTGCCTCATCAAAGCAGGTTCCCCTTCATGCTGACTGTGAGCGGGACTTTGCAAGTTCCCTCCTCCTCCTCCTCCTCCCTCCCCTGTATATATCAATTTTTTTTTATCCAAATCAAACTACAGTCGCCTCAAAACGGAGATGGACTCACATAATAATAATAATCCTTGCATTTGATACAGCGCCTCATCACGTCTTCCAGGCATCTCCAAGCGCTTCACAGAATATACCGTGTATACCGAATCGACTACATATTTTGTGGGCGAAACACATCAACAAAAAGACTTGAGGCCAAGTCTTGGTTAGCCAAGACTTGGAGCCAAAGTAGGTAAGTGGGGAAAGAAGCCTTTTCATGGGTTATGTTGCCTAACTCTAGAGGAAGACCTGAAATAAACTAACTAAAAAGCATCACTTATTTCACATGTCGCTCCTTTGCTAGTAAGATTGCAATGACTCCCTCCTTCAGACATGCAATACAATTACAGCATTATAGCTAAAACGCTAGCACTCCTCCCCTCCCCGATCTATAATAATAATAAATTGATATAGCGCCTTATCACGTCTTCGAGACGTCTCAAAGCGCTTCACAGAATATACTGTAAAGTGAATTGACTGTATGTTTTGTGGGCGAAACATAAAGAATGTATCAGATACAGAATTACCCTCTCCTTGCACTATCCCCAGAAACTTTACAAACTTTCAACTCTAATTCTGAAAGCGCGATATACCAATTTGTATTTTAAAAAAGTCTGCTGCTTAAAATTGTATTCAGAGTACCGGGATTTAAGCGATACATTTAACCCATTTGAGAATAGAATCGAGGTAAATGCTCACTTCTGAATTCGCTGCTGCTGCTAGGCTGAGAGCATATAATAATAATCCTTGTATTTGCATTTGTATTGCGTATGCATTATCCTTGCATATGTATTTATTTACTTTTTAATAAAACGTTGAAATTGATTCAAATTGTGCGTTATTGTTTCTCCTCCCTCTCCCTTTCGCCCTTTGCTGATACCTCTCAAGAAATCTTATGCCTTAATGATCATTGTCCTTAATTTAGGAACTTCTTCACTGAATGATCGTCAAAAGGGCAGGATTTTAATATGGATTATTCCTGTACCTCGCTAGATTTTTATACGACCTTATGTGAACTCAGCAGCGAAATGACATGGCCAGGTATTCTGAATAATTAATGTGGATTCTGGACTTAAAAACATATTCTAAGAAAAAGACTTGGATAAGCAGCTAGCTGTGCAATTTCATTTTGAAATATGAGCTCTTTTAAGATGTGTAAAGGCGAACTTTTTTTTTAATGTTGTACTCCATCAAGTGAAATCTGTGATGCACACATGAAGGACTAGGTAATAGAGCAGGTAGGGAGAGGGGAATTGGAGGGAGTGGAGGCTTGCGTGGAGTATAACCACCGGGACTGAATAGTTGGGCCGAATGGTCTGTTGCCATGCCGCAAAATTCCATGTAACTCTGTCAAGATAAAGACTGCCTTTAGATTAATTTGGAAATGGGAATTTAGCATCGATCAGGCCAACCATTAAAATGCACAAGTGCGCCACTTGATAATAGAGAACATTTCAGCTGTTTGGCAGTTTAAAGTCCACAAGAAGCTTCATAGGAATTAGGAGCAGGAGTGGGCTTTCGGCGCCTTGAGCCTGCCCCGCCATTCAATAAGATCATGGCTGATCTTCTAACCTAACTCCATTTGCCTACCTTTTCCCCATATCCCTTAATCCCTCTATCCTTTAGAAATCTATCAATTCAGTCTTGAATATGTTCAAGGACTGAGTATCTACAGCCTTCTGGGGCCGAGAATTCCATAAATTCACTACCCTCTAAGTGAATAAGTGTTTCCTCAACTCTGTTCACTTCTCTCTTCCTAACGGACTGTAACTAATAAGGCTGTATTATATTTCTCTTTGCTCAATTCTCGTCGCCCTCTTCCCCCCACCTCCCATACCTGATCAATTCCACTATTTCTAAACTCCACGTACTCAGTTCATCCCACTGGGAGAGCGGATCACACACCTAATCAGATATCAGGTACAGCCATCCATTCTCCAAGCAGGAGGTGAGCTCATGTTCCTGACAGTGGGCATCTGTCTGGAATGGTTGGCACATCTTCATTAAGCAAGAAACTACGATCGATTTATGGGACTACAAGCATGCTGTAACCAGCATTCAATTAAATTACATTATCAAAGAGACAAGTCAATATATCATTGTTTTGTGACTTACATTCCTTTCGTTATGACAATGGAATTTCAATGATACCAACCAAGAATGCACGCTTAATGTAACATTTGCGTAAAAAGTATTATACCATACACAAAATATAAGCAGGCTTTGTCTAATATGCGAGTATGATATTGTCAGTCTATATCGATACTTGCGTTTTATATCATGTTAATGCAAGCATAACAAAACAACTTTGTGGATTTCGAACTTGTAAACACTTCTAATCCTGTTTGATAAGGTTAAGGGTTTGTTTTTTGTAAGAAACATAAATGGCAACTTATGTTGTCATAACAGAGGCTTAAAAAGTAAGAGTTTTTGCGCTGACAGCTTAATGCTGTAAATGTAAAACGCTGAATCTGAGTGAAGTAATTCAAAGAAAAGGGTCAATAATCGGAACACATTCAAAAACACAACTCCGTTATAAATGTGCCAGGAAAAAATGATCTTTCTTTACAAGGTCTAGGTGGCAAATTGTAGCTGATGGGATATCAATAGCAATGGCCTTTGAATTCACACTTCTTTCTTGCTTCAGTGCCAATTATTTCCAAAGGTTTTGTGCCAACTCCAGTATATCCAATGCACTGCATCTGTAGCCTGACCCAGTTCCAGCTGTTCATTAAGCAACCTGCTTATATAGTATACCCAACGGTTTGGGTTTCACATTGAAATACAAGCTAAAGTACAGAAGATAACAGTGAGACCACTTTGAAAAATAAATGGTGCACTGAGCTCACTTGTAAGACCTTGTAACATTTGAAGCCAAATCACTTCAGATAAATTGCACAGAAATACATCACATAAACTGTGCAGCACTGAGACAGGCCATTTTGTCCTAACTTGTCCAACTAGCTTAAATAATGTTACCTCCCAAAGTACTTTCATTTAAACATCTCTCACAAAAACGTTCCACGCTCCAGTTCAATTCTCCGAGGGTGGGAAAGGAGGTGGTGAGAGTGCCTCATTGTCAGACAGACTTGTGCAATTTTGTTGATGTGAAATAAAAAAAAGGCGATTTTTTTTTATTTGCTTTAATATACAACACCATATTTTTTTAACGATAACAAAAATATTTAGCAGAATAATAAACCCTGAATAAAATATCTGGAAGGGAGCAAGACAACCGCTGATATACACTCAAATATATTTGACCCAAGGTTAAAAAAAAACCAACATAAATATTTCAGTGAGTCGCTTGCAATAGAACCGCAGAAACCTCATCAAAACATTTGTTTATATGTATATTACAGACCTCCAGAGAAATCATAGGAAGTTTGTGTTTGGTGTTGATTTGATGTCACAACCAGGTCACGTTGACTACGTGTCTCGCAAACTGGACCCCAGGTGGCTGACAGGAAGCACAGATAATGTAATCCACACACAATTGGTGAAGACTTATTAATCTTTTAGAAATAATAATAATAATAAACCTTGCATTTGATACAGCGCCTTTAGGAATGGGAGGATGTCTCAAAGAGCTTCACGATCCACTGTAAAGAATGGAGATTGTATTGTGCAAGAAATTAAGGTAGCCAATTTGAGCACAGCAAAGGCCCACAAACAACCACAACCAATATTATTTCAAAATCCCTTCTCTTTTCAAATAGTGCTCATTTACGTCCACTTGGAGCTCGGTTTAACGTCTGACCAGATGTGTGACACCTCCAACACTGCAGTATGCAGCCAGAACTGCATTGGTTGGAGTGTAAGCCTAGACTGAATGAGTTCAACCCCCCATTATGGGGCTTGGACCCACAATCCGTTTGATTCAGAGGTAAGAGTGCTACCCGACTGAGCCAGGCTGACACACAAATTACTGAGGAACTTGCTTATAAAATGTGGAACATGCAGGCATCAAGGTTATAACACATCTTATAGGTTATCTCTCTTTTAGGCAGCTACCATTGTAAAGCGCATCACAATGCTACCTTACATGAAGGGGACTATATAAATGCAAGTTGTTGTACATATTTTGGTCTAGCTGCTGATTGTCATGAGATGATTCAAAGAGCCATTTATCTTACTTCCGTAAAGGATCAAATATTTGGCAAAGCTAAGCTGATTTGCAGCAATCCAAGGCAGAATGCGAGGTGCAACTGTAATAGGTTAGGCAATTTTAGCTGGACAAATACTGCAATGGATAAATATTCATACAAAACACTGCATTGGAACATAATCGAAATATTCCACATATCCAGCATCCCACTTTTCACTGTCTCCTGGTTGTAGCTTATCAATAAGTATGCAAATACTACTTATCATTAAGTACTCTAATAATATGCTAAATCTTTATAAAACATACAGATACTCTCCGGGTTATCATGCGTAACTGGTAACAAAATATTTGACCTAGAATTTGACACACAATGCAAACAAGATGCTTTGTGTTAAGACTTACGTAAGCTTCAATAACTATTCCCTTGTTTCCTGCACCACTTTATCTAATTGGGCCTTTATGGTGGTACTGTATATATCTGGGCCTCTTAATAATTTATAAAAGACATTGAAAGCTGCGTCCTTTCCATTGCACACTGAAAACGCAATCCGCTGCGGTAAACACAGAAGCACTGTGCGATAGAACGAATCCTGTAAGGAATGACGGCAAGAAAATCTTTAGTTCTAGGCACTTCCGATGATCTGAACAGATCACCCAGCATAGAGTAAGAAAGGGGCAATGTTCTGGCCACATCTCACACAGCACAAAAATGGTTTAATGTAGCTGTTAACTCGGTTCCCATTCCAGATCTATTAGAAATATTTTTTGGGCGTCCCTTGCCCATAGATGAACACCTGTAGGAAGATTGCGATGTCAGTGCAAATCTGTATAATTCCACAAACCCAGAATTGCATGGGAGTGTCGTTAATAATGAAGTACGCTGTCTTGAAGGTATCGCCCAGACTCCACAAAAGCACCATCTTCACACTGCAAAATACAAAACCGTATCAGAATCGAATGTCTATTTTACACAAACACCTTTCTAAATTTAAATTCAATTAAATGAATTGATATCCAGTCAAGTTTCTCACAAACGTTCTACTAATGTGATAAACAATAATGAACATATCAGGGTAAGCTTTAAACGTAACAGTGCTGACACATGTACACAATATGAAACTGCATTGTCGAGGTGCTGTCCTTTGGATGAGATGTTAAATCAAGGTACTGTCTTATCTGTTCAGGTGGATGTTAAAGGTCCCATGGCACTATTCGAAAAAAGATTTGGGAGTTTCTCCCTGTGTCCTGGCTGACAATCCCCCAGATAAAATAGGTCATTCACTTCATGGCTGTTTATGGGAAGTGTTTTTGAGATATCTCAATGATATGGTAAGTCGCTATATCAAATGGATTGTTATTATTATTAGCTTCTTATCTGAACTATAATCTACTGTCGCAGCAAGGAAGAGGCACTGACCTTAGTAAAGTTGTACAAAGTCAAGTGATACTAATTCTGACTGATAACCACTGTCGACAGTGGAATGGATGCACTTCTTTAACCAAATGAAGCAAAGGTCTCACTCCTGAGGTCAGTTTATTCCCTAAACAGCAGTAAACATCACTAACATTGCCTCTAATGATAAAGCATTCAAAATAGGTAATTGGTTTTGTGAACACAGCTGACATCTGCTAGACTGAGTGGATAATTACAAAGGCTGATGCAGAATATTTATGTTTCAGGCAACCTGGTCTGATAGCATTACACAGTACAGGAAGGCTATTGGAGCATTGGAGAGCGCGGAGAGATATACAAGGTTGTGAATAGCTTTTCTCTCTGGTGGTAATGATTGAGGGGGACCTGCTAGAGGTTACATTGGGTTAGGTAGAGTTACACAAGGGAGTGCCATCAGTCACTGTGACAAGCCAAAGGTAGTCTCAATAAATAATGATGGGCCAATGGTCAAAATCGACACCTGGATTAAGTCTTTTGCTTGCTTCATTGCTCACCAAATGGGTTTGCTGCCACAAAAAATAAGGGACAAGGAAAAAAGTGAATGCTTCTCCGATATAAAATAAAAAGGGAATATGAAAAACAGCTGAAATTAACGTCAGTGCTGCAGTTCAATCTCTGGGTTCAGAGAGCGGTCAAAACTTCTGTATGGTTTATGACCCCTCTCTCCTCTCTGGTAGGTACGTATCCATTATTCCCAATGTAGCTCTGTCTTTTTTTAATGCCCCTTTCGGTTATTTTTATCTCTACACTAAACTACCCTCACATCTGTAGAACATTCAGAACATCATTGCTTCACTTTGGGGATCTTGGTCCCATAAGTGCTCGCATGCGGAATTGGAAAGTGTGAGACTGACTGGACAAGATTCCTCTCGCACTCACAGCCAAAAGGGTCCTAAGTCAAATGGGTCTGGCAGCTTTGATCCATATCCCAGTGGGTATAAGTCTACAGAACACGACTGCCCATCAACTTTCAAGTTCGGAAGTAAACGGACACTCTCAAAGGCCACTTCGCTCTCTGGTGCTGGGAATCGCAACTGTCACATTTGTGCTAGCGGCGGCTGCTTAACTCCTGCCCACCCCCACGGTTCAAGTGTCAGCATGGCTCAGTTGGTAGCAGTTACTGTCCCCCGATTTAAAAGATCCTGGGTTCAAGCTCCAAGTGGGGAAATGAGCTTGTGGTCTAGGCTGACCATCCACCCTGTATCTACTCTGTGTTGGACTTAAAACTATGAATATTTGAAGATGACACCTGGGGGAAGATAAGTAGAAAAGACTCCCAGAGTTGAAAAGCAACTATTCTGTTTATATTCACATTCCATTTATATTCCATTTATAGCAACTTCCACCTCCCCCCTACCCGCTTATCGTTCTGTGTAATTCCATGTAATTCTATGCAGTATTAGGCATCGACAATTCAGGGTTCTCTGGAGTGTATTAACCATCAATCTTCTGCTGCAGAAAAAAATGATAGTGGTGTGTTTTTTCCCCCCCACATGTAAAGGAAGGGATCGAGTCCTGCTGTATGTAGATGCGCAAATTTTTAATGGATCACGGGTCAGCCGATTAAATAAATCTAATCACAGAAACCCTTTAATCTTCTTAACATTCTGTCTGCAATGACTCGAAGGATGGTGCCTATGATTGCTAAAAGCATTCTCTCTTAAAATTTCAGGTCTTGCCTGACGGTGGAAAGTTGTCATCCAGTATTTGGTCTTCAAAAATATACCGTGAATTCACTTCACAGTACATTACATTGTGGAGTCCTGTAGCTCAGTGGTTAGAGCACTCGCTTTGCAAGTGAGAGACCTGAGTTCAATTCCAGGCAGAGGGCGAAACCTTGGGCAAGTTTCCTTACTCACACAGCCTAATAATAATCCCTCCAAAACCAAAAACAATAATAAATTGGTCATTTTCAATCTACGACTGTTTGTGGGACATTGCTGTGCGCAATTGGCTGCCGCGTTCGCCCACAAAATATATACAGTCAATTCACTTTACAGTGTGTTCTGTGAAGCGCTTTGGGACGTCCTCCTGACGTGAAAAGCGCTATATCAAATGCAAGGATTATTATTATTATTATTATTATTATTATTCCGTGAAGCATTTTGAGACGTCTCAACAACGTGAATGAGGTGTTAGATCAAGTGCAAGGATTATTATTATTATTCATTTAAAAGCTATTATTTATGAAATAAAAACGCTTCTAAATTAAACTGAATTTAAGAAGTTTTGCATAATTTGGTACAATCTGAAATTCCATGACAGAACAGTCACTGAATTTCAGGCCCGTAGAGTTTTGAGAGTCAGGTACACCATACTTTGCAGCGTAAATCTGGATTTTATGTCTACCTTTTGCTAAAACAAGCAAATAAAATCTGTTGTACATCCCCTCCCCAAAATAGAGGCACTTTCGTGAGCTCTCTGCCTCCATACCTCATTCCTGCTGTGGATTTGTTCTTGAAGTTCTGTAAAAGCTGAGGCACGCCAAGCATAGCCTCAGTGAGGACAGCGGCGAAGCCAAGAGATTCCACGTAGAGCTGGGAGTCGATCAGGAGGTAAGTAATTACGAGGCAGAACACGCTGAAGAACAAACAGAACTGCACGTAATCCACAAAACGGCTCCAGTTCCAAAAGTATCTCGGCTCAAAATCTACAGAGAGGAAGAAAAACACAAATGTTTTTATTATTATCTGAAGCTTAATACAAATGAACGATTATAGCGCTGTGAAACACAGTGCTTTTATTCAATGGGATTTCCTCCCTCGTCCTCACGTTCAAATCCTCCAGGACCTTGATACACCCTATCTCTGCGGCCTCCTGTAACCCTACTGATCTGGCTGCTTCCTAACCCCTGTCCGATCCGACTGACCATCGAGTGGGCAAGCATTCTGCCCCCCACTCTTAGAAGACTGTGGGCTCAAGCCTCACTTCGGGACTCTGAACTCATAGTTTAGACTGAAACTTAGTGCTGGGGCTGTGCTGCATTCTCACAGGTGCCTTACTTCAGGTGAGACCCTATACCCAGATCCTGTTTGCCCACTCAAGGTGGATGTTAAAGATTCCGTGACGCTACTCGAAACGACAAGGGAGTTTCCCCCACTGTGTCATGGTCAATAATCCCTCAGCTAAGATTGATCATTCACTTTGTGGCTGTTTGTGAGGCACTGCTGTAAACACATATAGAATGAAATTGTAATATTTAGTATTTGGGTGCGATTAGGTCTAAATAAATCAACAGTGATATGATATGAATTCCGTACTTTTTTTGACCAATTCATATAAATCAACGTCACAAGGAGTCTCTAATTGCAATTTCATAAGCAGGTTTACACAACGTGATGGATGTTTCAGTGTTACGATTAACCATGCAGCTTTAAGCAGTTCTATTTCCCGAGAGAGCCAGTGATACACAGAGAAACATATTGCAGCGAATTCCCAAAGAAGCAGAACAAGTGTAATATTTATGAGACCGTCTGTATTCAAGATTGCCCTGAAGTTACCCTGGCAGAAACAGCTCCGACGCACACGATAAATTCTTCCCTTCAAGAGGAATGAGAATAAAGCAAAGCAACCATGGAGCTAATGTGGACTAAGTCAAACTATCTATTCAATTTTCCATGAGACTTTTTAAGAAAAAAAAACATTTTTGGAGTTATATAAAGTTACAATCAATTCAAAGGACTCACGTACTTCTGTAAACAGCTTATAAGAAAAGGTAATCTCTACTTTTCCTTGGCCAACAATCCCCCCAGATAAAATTGGTCATGGCTGCTTGTGCGGCATTGCTTAATGCAAGTCAGCTGCCACATTCGCCTACAATATCCACAGTCACTACACAACACAGTAAACCCTGTGAAGCGCTTTGAGATGTCTTCCCCATGTGAAATGCTGTACACCGTCCAGGGTCTTGGGACGTCCTCCCGACGGGAAAGGCACTGTACAAATGTAATCTTGTTGTTGTTGTTGAAAGGCACTGCATCAATGTAAGTTGCATCGTATTTTAATAACTGTAGAAACAAATGATGTAGGAAAAGATCCACTCATGTAAAGCGGCTAAATTGCTTCACTACAATGTGCATGTAATTCTGATGGTTCCTGGTTTACTATGAGGACAGAAACAACATTGATCAAGCTGCTGGTGAGGGATTAAAGGATTAGCTACTTAAATTAAAATAAATATATAGATATACTTTCATACATGACAAAAATCGGTACACTTGTGGAATAATCTTTTAAAAAATATATTCAAATCTATTTTTTTAAATTGAAGACTTTCGGCTGTCGGGTATTGAGTGAGGCCAGCTTTGCCCGACAAGAGAACTGAAAGAATATCATGAAAACTCAAGAAAAACGAAAAGATTGGAGTGATAAAATGTGACTGTTAATGTGTTAGTTACCATTGGCAATTATTATCACATTACACATCACATTTTTCAACCTCCCCCTTTCCCCCATCACAGGGGATATGAGCGAAAACACATGTAGGTTCAACTTCAATAACGCAGCACTAGAAATTTAACAGTCATGATCTCACCACTTGTGCACAGTACTGAATTTAGGCTCTGTAAATGCATTGAAATAGTTCACATCAAGGTTGGCAACCAAATTTTAGGTGGTGATTTAAAAATGCTATGTCATAAAATACAGGCGGGCGCATAGAGTTTCGCATTAAAAACAAACCAATGACGTGATTACGTATTACTGACTGCTGCTTAGCACTCCAGGACTTAAGGTCATGTTGATATCTAGGCTGAAAGTAGGTTAAGGCTCCGTCTCTGTGCTCTGAATCATGGGATTTTCCAGGCAAAATCATCTGCACTTGGGATTTGATCTGCTGGCACTTCACCTTGTATTTCCCAATAATTGAATTGCTGATGATTAAAAGCTAAAGTACTTACTGACCTCTATTTTCCATTGCCTTTAGCGGTTGGGCGTTTGCAAAATAAGGACGATTGATCTTGTCTGCCTCAATACTGTATGTTCTGACATAACGATATGAAATCCTACACAAGATTTTTATGCAGAGTATTTGTTCGGTAGGTTGCGTCTACCATTTGCTGCACTATATAATCCGCAGTGGGTACGGATACTCCAGTACAAGGCCCGCATTTGGGATAATAAAACGAGGCAAGGAATTGGTTTCTAATTGATTTGAGCTGCATAAAGTATAAAGCTGCATGAAGTGCTCCAAGACGCTACCAGCATGAAGGGTGCTACATAACAACAACAAATTACATTTGTAGAGCGCCTTTCATGTCAGGAGGATGTCCCAAGGTGCTGAAGCATAAGTTGTTGTTCTTCTTGTTGTTGCCATACAGGCCTTTGCACCAAAAATCCAGATACACGGAGGAAATTACTTCACAAATTATTTCGCTGAACGGAAACTCTGAGGGATTTTTTTGTATCCATCTCACATATCTTTACCCTTTGCTGTTTTGTTTCACAATAAAGAATGGGACCTTCAGCCAGTTGAAGGCTGTGTTGCCTCTATTTCCCTTGAGGAATTAATTTTGGCTGAATGATATGCTGTGATATTGATTTTTGTCAAAAATAATGTTCAGTAACCTCTCTCTCTCTCTCTCGCTCTCTCCCCTCTCTCATGGAACCTTTTCATTTTACAACGATAAACACTGGTTTTAACATCTTCCAAGTAATGCGATAAAGTTTTTTTTTGATGATTAAACATGACAATTGTCAGAATTATTATTCCTAAGTAACTTTTAGCCAAACTAAGCAACATTCTGTGAAGTCTTATAATAACCATTGTGTTTGATGTAGCACATTTACTATGGGCTGCTTTTTTTGTTATTGATGATATACAAATGTTACTGACATTCCTGTGAGAATATGCAACCTAACAAACATCTTCAAAATGTGTCCCTTGGGAGGGCAACAGTACCTTTGCTTGTCCGGAAATTGATTTGAATATGTACTGAGCCTCGCAAGAGAAAGAAATATGATTTGGGAAATTAATTACTGGCTGAAATCATTGGAACATATACATCACTGGGCTCCACTTCAAGTCAGGGAGCTAACAACTGAATTCCAATAAATCAGCTGTCCCAATAGGGATAAATATGAATTCCCAAAGCCCTTGGGTGGGCTACTACCATTGACGTACGCTTCTACGAAACAAATGGAATGGAAAGTTTACCTTGTTTAGCGAACACTGATTTCGGATTCAATTTGGAATGTGGGAGACTTATTTGTGACTACGATGGATGCGGAAGTATCCTTCAGCGATACAGAAGTTGACGATTCGCTGGGAAGGCCTGCCTGTGCGAGGGTGCTGAAAGACGCCATGTGTAATTTTCCAACTGAGCATCTCAGATAACCTGAAATTTCTCATGGTCTTCGCTACAAGACCATTGCAAACTTAAAATTGTGTGCAAAGTTCTTAAATTCCGTCTTCATCTGGAAACTTTTATTTCCTGCAGCTATTCTGCAGTAAAATATTTTAAGACAACAACAACAACTTGCATTTATACAGCGCCCTCCAAGCAGGGGGCGTCCCAGAGCGTTTAAACAATAGTGGAGCCTGATGCCAAGGCAGGGGGAGGGGCAAGGTGACCATAGGCACGGTTGAAGGGGAAGGTCTTCAAGCGCAACCTGAAAAGGGGGAAAGAGAGGGGGCAAGGTGAAGGGATTGAGGGAGGGAGCGCCGTAGCTTCGCGCCGTAGTGGCTAAAGACTCCCCGTTATGAATCTGTTTTGCTTGCCACTTGGGTTGCAATGTAAATTATGCTCTCGTAATGATCTGGTAATAAGGTTTAATGCTACCAAACTTTACCTGTATTATATGTGCTTTAGAACTTATGTGGGCTTCTTGGTTTACCAAGATGTTATCGGTGCACAATACTGTGCAATGTTAGTTGTGCAGGGCAATGACAGACTCCCCACGGTGTGCACTGGGTTTTAACGGTGGAATCACAGTCGTCTGCACTACCGTGGGTAGTTTTCAGTTCAATGTGGGAAAGACTGTCAGCATCTGCATTCTGCAAGTTGCCTTTCAGCTCATTCATACGCAAGCAGCAACCTCCTGTGAGGTCTCTGAACAGCCCAGATGTGGTTGGGTTATGCTTCTACTCGATTCACACTTGTGTGTTCAACTAAATTGTTTTAAAGTATGACTATCTCAAGAACAAGGACAAAACTTAATCATGTACTGGCAGTGCTAATGGGAGCAGGGATATTAAACACCCTCATAACAGCTACATTAATAATTTTCGAATGTTCTTCGAAAGGACCAAGCAGAAGCTTGAGATAAAATATATTAAACCTCTATATTCTTGTGATTGATTACATTAAAAACCTACTCAGTTTTAAATTAATTGTAATTGCTGTTTAGTGTGCTACATTGTCTACTGCTCGTATTCAGCAAAGAAAAATCTCATCTCAATTCATAACAGATTATGTAAACGAGTTCCTTATCTGTAATTTGCAGTCATCTGTGCCTATTTATAATAATCATATTAAAATCTTTTAATCATCTGGCACATCCAACTGATCCTGACATTTTTATAATTAGACAAGTCAACGACATCTTGTAGCAATGTAACAAATGCATTGCTCAAATTGGGCCCATGTGCCAAGAAGGTCTATATTGCTTGCGTAAGGGGATTGCTTTTCATTCAAGATCTATTTTCTCTCCTGGGGCTATCCACAGGTTGGATGACCATCATGATTGTGTAAAATCAAATTTAATCTGTTTCCATCTATTTAATGAATACGATACAATGCAAACTGCTTCACTGCTAATGCTGTTTAAAATGTTAATAGGAGCGATAAAAAAAAATCACAGTGAAGCAAATAAGAAATCATTCCCTACACTTCCATAATAAATCCCTGGTCTATATGTATCAATCTTGATAGCAGGCTTGACCTTGTGCTTTTAAAGCTCAATGATATTAAAATATACTGCTGCTTTCCCCATCACTGAGTTAATTGCGAATCCAAGGTGTTACTTTTTAATTACTCTCATATTAATACCATTGACTTAATTCTCCATTCATTATCACCAGAGTTAGCGTTAAGCCCTAAATGAAGATGTTTCGGAGGGCGAGAGAAACTAATTTGCTTCAAAACTCCTTTTACAAACAAATTTTACAGCTTTTCAAAAAAAGTCACACAGAAAGTTAGATTTTGCTTCAGTGGGTGTAACTGCTGATAACTGCAATTAAATGCTCACTCATCCATTCTCACTTTACGAGTGGACCGTGCATTCACATACAGAAGTGCGCTAATGATATAAAACCCCTCAAGATTTTGCTGGCCGAATACATAGTCACTACACTTCACCGTAAGTCCTGTGAAGTGCTTTGAGATGTCTTCCTGACATGAGCTGGTGCTGTATCAAATGTAAGGATTATTATCATAGAAGTAGCCGGGTACACTCAGCAGGCCAGGCAGCATCTATGGCGAAAGGAAAGTGAGTCAAGTGAGTCACTTTCCTTTCTCCATAGATGCTGCCTGACCTGCTGAGTGTACCCAGTGACTTCTGTTTTTGTTTCAGATTTCCAGCATCTGCAGTATTTTGTGTTTTGTAAGGAATATTATTATTATTGTTATTATTATTATTATTATTATTATTGTTAAATTCCAAGGATTTCAAATATGCAGAATGTTTAAATCCTCCGAAAGTAGCTCTCATGGTACCAAGTCATATTTATAAATTTTAGTCGAATGCTACAGTCCACAAACTCACAGGGACTCGCATTCTGAATGGATTGAGTCACATCATGACTGGATGGTTTTAGCCCTGGGTCATCATCAACATAATAATGAAAGAGTGAGTTCACTGCAATTGATCTGACAACAAAAGTCTGCTCACTTTCAACTTTGTATGACCTTAGATTAATATCTTGGCCTTGAACATAGTTAACACTGGATAACAAGCAAGATTCCACTCTGTATGCAAACACAGCTATTTTCAGCGCTGAGCTGTAGGGGCCATTGCGTGATGTTTGATCTTTGCAGTCATTATCACGGCTATATTGCACACAATGTTGAAGTAGTTGAAAAAAACATACGTAGCTCTTATGAGTTATTCACATCAACAGCAATGGAACAAGTAACAGAGTAACCCAAAGCGTAAAACAAATCATATCTTCGAACTGCAAATATTGTCCTTCAGTTGCCAAGTGACCATGTTGGTTTGTGAAGTTTCCAACACGCTCGTTCTTTCTGAGACCCTCTGTAAATGTTCCAAGCTTCACGGTCTTAAGTAAACCTTGGATTTGATACCTTGCTTTTCACGTCAGGGGGACATCTGAAAGCGCTTCGCAGGATTTCCTGTACGTGAGGTGACTGTGCATTTTGTGGGTGAACGTGGCAGCCAATTTGCGCACAGCAACGTCTCGCAAACAGCTGTAAATTAATACCGAACATTGATTGCCATGGGAAATGATAGGGTAGAGCAGTGTTAGGATGCAGTTGGACATGCAGTAAACTCCTGATAACACGACCCTGGTTTAATCTGTCACTTCCACACATGCATTAACTCATTATCCTGGGCTTTAAAAGCACATCTCCCAATATGAAAGGCGTTATATATGAAGAGTAAGGATTATTATTTTGTTGTAAAGTGCTTTACAGAGGCAGTGCGGGTCACCGAGCCGGGGCTGGGTGGGTGGGGGGAAGGGTTGTGGGTGCGGGTGTCTATGACTTTAGGACAAAACTGAAGACACAAACCTGTGAAAAAATGTTTCTTGGTGCTAACTCTGGTTGACGTCTCCAGCGAACAGCACAAATGCTGCAAGGCCAACATGGTGATGATCAGCACCACACTCTGCCACAGGAGAGTGAGCTCAAAGTGTCTTCCAAGCCTGTGGAAGAAAGATTCGAACAATCTCAATAGTGTACACAACACACACAAAATACTGCAGATGCTGGAAATCTGAAACCAAAACAGAGAGAGCATTCCACATACATATTACCACTGGATCGAATAATAATAATACTTGCATTTGATACACCACCTTATCGTGTTGTTGAGTAGTCTCAAAGAGTCTCACATGATCCACTGTAAAGTGGATCGGCTGTGTATTTTGTGGACGAAATGCGGCAGCCAGTTTGCGCGCAGCAATTTCCCCAAAACAGCCACGGGGTGAGTGACCAATTTTATTTGGGGGATTTATTTACCAGGACACCGGGAGCGAGAAACGCCCTTCTCTTTTCGAATAGCGCCGCGGGATCTTTAACATCCACCTGAAATAGTATGAAGCCCAGGGCTGTGTTGAGGTGGTGTCCACCTGTATGGCTGAGAAGGGTGAGCAGCACCACTCACCAGAAGAAGAGGCGGAGGATGTTGGCCACCAACAGCATCAGGCACACGTATGTGGAGAAACCCTCGGGATTGCCGCTTCTCTGTATGTGGCGATACTGCGGAATGTAAGGAGCCGCACCTCCGAAGACCATGAGCAAAGAGGCAATCCAGGAGAAGAGAGAGAAGATGAAGAGTAGCACCAAGTTGCTCAGCGTGCTCCCAGAATCCGAATCGGCCATTGGATGGGAGGTGGATGGAGACGGATAGATGGATGGATGGGAGATGGATTGGGATTGATGCCAGATCACTGCCACTTACAAATACGGTAAAAAAGGGGAATTGTTTGCCGATTTCCTGATCGAAATTCCGAAAGAAACGTATTTGTTTCCTCTTTCTCCCTGTTGTGTTTCGCAGCCCTTTGCCTTTTGCGAATGCTTCGCCACATCCGGCGTGGAATACGAGTTGAACGCTTTCGGAAAAAAATTTGCTCTGCCAATAAAAAAAAGAACCGGTTCGGCGAGGTGAATAGGATTGGGTTTACTCCTGTACACCTTTTCAGGGACTCAGAACATTTTCCCCTCCCACAGATTCTCTCCACAACTTACTCTGGGTTGTTACAAGGGTGGACTTTATTTCTAGATGTGCCGAGAGAGAAAAAAAAACACAAGGAAAAATATATATTAGAGAGTGAGTGAGAGAGAGAGAGAGAGAGAGTAACCAATATCCTACAATAAATAGTACATCCAGCTCACACTGTTGTTAAACTGGTGAGGTGTCTGAGTTTAGAATTCAGGTCTTAGCATTTTAACACACACAGACATACACAGATACAAAGATACATACATACAAACATACATACATACACACACACACACATACATATACACACACACACACACATACATACACACACACACACACAAGACACGTACAAACAAAAGTGCCGCAGTTTTCTCTCATTTTGTTCGACAAGGCGATCAGATTACAATGCTGTACGAATGTTTCTCATTGCAGTCAAATTCGCTTTACGGCGCATTCAGCGAAGCGCTTCGGGACGTCCAGAAGATGTAAAAAGCGCGATATCAAATGCAAGGATTATTATGATTACTCTCAGGTCCTGCGATGGACACAGGGAAGAGAAAAAAAAAACACTTGCTCTGAGACCTACTGACCCTGGGGTCCAAAAATAACTGGGATCGACTCTCCCCACACACACACACACACACACACAAATAACTGGGATCGACCCCCACCCCCCACCCCCCCTCCCCCAGCACTAACCCAGTCCAGGCACCTCATGGACATATTAAATGCAGTGCTCGGTTTGACTTTAACATGTGTTAGCACGTCTCCCGGAAAACTATTTGAACCACATTAGGACTGTACTCACTTCCAGCACTGCCACTCCTCACTGTGTCTGTGCCATTACATGTGGTTTCTGTGCAACACACACACACACAGAGAGAGAGGGAGAGAGAGAGTGTGTGAGAGAGACTCTGACAGATCTGTGGTCCAGTTTCACTCAATGCGGATGTCTCTCTCTCTCTCTCNTTTTGTTGTTGTTGTTGTTGTTTCTGCAAAGAAGAAGAAGGACAAACTCATACTTTAACGTTTCTCTCGACTTGTGCATTTCCCCTCCCAGATCCCAGCAAAACCTGCTGGCAAGTGTGGGAGCCAGGCTCTCACTCACCACTCTGCCCTGGGAATAAACCTGCGCTGGGTTTTTTTTATTATTAAAAATAATAATAATAAATAATAATAATAATAATAATAATAATAATAATAATAAATAATCTGCTGCATATCACACAAAAAAAAGCAGTGGCACACAGGCTCCTCTACTGCCCTACCTTTAAAGATACTCTCCCCTCCTCTTCGCCCTCCACACACCCCCTCCCCACACACCCCACTACACCCCCCACTACACCCCCCAAACTGATCAAAACAAACCGGTGGCAGTGCCAAATAAGTGGGAAGTTCAGCAAAATCACCGAGTGAGTTCTTTTGAGTGAGCTGCCACTTGCAATTGCAAACCAGGAGACCCCCACCCCCCCCCCAATCCCCCCCCCTACCCCCCAATCCCCCCCCCTACCCCCAATCCCCCCCCCTACCCCCCCAATCCCCCCCCCCCCCCCAATCCCCCCCCTACCCCCCAATCCCCCCCCTACCCCCCAATCCCCCCCCTACCCCCCCAATCCCCCCCAAGTCAGTTGTATAACAGAAAAGATTGCAGCCACACAAAGCTGAGCTTGAGTTTGGCACTGCTGCACCAGCTCCGGCTCTCAGTGCGCAAAGCCATCTCTCACCACAGATACTTGACCACTCTCTTTCGAGCCGCTCAAACCGTGTTGGTCGCACTGCACTCTATGTGCCAAGTTCTTGCGGGGGTTACGGCGCGGACTCTTCGCCCTCTCTGTGGCTTGTGCTCAAATCGCGTTTAGTCGCAGGTTTTGGTGGGGTTTGACGTTGGAGGATGTTCTCTGGTCGTTAAGGGCCACTTAAAACTTGTCCAAATCTTACTTCCTCACTGGGGAAAAGTTTCCATCCTCTCTCTCTCTCTCTCTCTCCCTCTTCCTCTCTCTCTCTCTCTTGACTCGGATTTCCAATTAAAATGTGACTCACTCCCTTTGGTGGACAATCAGAACGCGTGAGAAAAGATGGCTTTGGGTTTAAATAATAATAATGATGATGATGATTATTGTTATTATTTGGGTCTTTTTCGAGGGGGGGGGAACAAGAGAGAGAGAGAGAGAGAGTGGGGGAGAGTGGAGAGTGTTGGGGGGGGGGGGGTGGAATAAGAGAACATTAACAGGACACAATGGACCTCAAGCGGTGTCACAGTTAACAGTTACTACACGTTAACAAAAGCGATCGGTGAAAGGAGTTAAAAAAAAACGACTTTTAAGGGGCATTTGCACGACTCTCCCTCCCCCTTGCGCCGCCGAGGAGCGTTAAACATCTTTTTATTTATGACTCTTGTTTAATTTCGCCCCGAAAGATACCCGGTCCATTCGCTTTACAGTGTGCGCCGAGAAAGCGCTTTGAGATGCCTAGAAGACGCTATAGCAAATGCAAGGATTATTATTATTATTATTATCATAACTAAGTCCCGTGCACTCTGGGGCGCTACCATTCGTGAGGGGCGCCGATATAAATGCACGTTGTTGTTAATGTTATTAGTCGGGCAAATTCCTATCGCAATTTGGTACGTAAATTGGCCACCACCATTTGCAAGAAGTTCCACTCGCTCACACTCGAAAAACATCTGCCGAAACAAACCGAAAGAAGGAAGTCATTGCCCTGCGGCAGCTGCGTGTGTGGAGGATCAAGATTATTCTCAGTTACCAAAATGCTTCTGAAGTGCAAGTCCACGGAAGTTAGGATCATTTTCTTGCACTAATTCAACGCTCGTTACAATAAACTCCAATTTATTGAGTTCTACTTATCATTCCATGACATGTCACGGGTAAACAGACAGTTGGGAACGGGGTGGTGGGTGGGGGGGGGGGGGGGGGGTGGTTGGGTGGGGGGGGGAGATAGTTTTGAACTGTTGACTTTGCTCTTTATCTTTTGTACGCAATGTGCAAAAAGCAACGGCAATTTGCACTTATATACAGCAGCACCCTTCACGCTGGCGGCGTCTTTGAGCTCTTATTTTGGATTGTGACATGGCCTTACGATAACCAGCAAAGAACTGGTTCTGCTGAGACAGTCAGTGGCAGCTCAGAATGGTGAAATTCAGGAAGTACAAGTCGGCCGAGAAAACGGTTGTAACACTGCATCAACCGACCTGAAAAAGGCATATCTGCCCGAAAAATACGGTCACGACGCTTCGCTGTAAACTCTTGCGAAGCGCTCCGAGCGTCAAACGTTCCCACGGTCAAGTGCCCTGACGTGAAAGGCGCTGTAATGGTAACAGTCCTTGCATTTGACAGAGCGCCTTGTCGCGTCCTAGAGACGTGTCTCAAAGTGCTTCCCAGGATATGTAGGTCCATTATGGACAGTGCTCTGTCACTTCATGAATGAATACCCCCCCCCCCCCTCTGCCCACACTCGGGAATTCCATCCCACAGTCCCTCCACCTCGCCCCCCGCCCCCCCTGCCCCCCCCCCCCTCCCCCACCGCCCCTCTTTGCTTTCGTCAAGACTCTTCCTAAGACCCTCCTCTTCAACCGCACCAGCGGTCACCCTCGGATGCTCGGGATGCCGAGCCCTGACTGTCCAGAGCCGGGGGGGGGGCGAGCGTCCTACCGGCCCGAGAGGCAGGAGCTGCGTCATAATAATAATAATAATAATAATAATCCTTGTGTTGGACGCAGCGGCTTGTCGCGCCTTCGAGACGCCTCAAAGCCCCTTCGCGGCAGCGTGTGCGGCGAAGCCAATTCACCGGTGTGTCGGGTCGGGGGCCGACGGGGGGGGCCCCACGAACAGCCGGGGATCGGTGTGACCGCGTCATTGCCGTGCGGTAAGGATTGTGCGCGCGTGGGTTTTGGGGGTCTGTGTGTAATATCATATACATATATAATTTTTTTTTACACACGCGTACACTTTTTAAGAAGGAACTCAGCCCGCAATTTGACGGCGTTGTTGTGGACGTTGTTGCCGCCGCCGCCGTCGTCGCTGCCGTCGCTGCCGTCGTTGTCGTCGCTGCCGTCGTCGTCGTCGCTGTCGTCGTCGTCGCTGTTGCCGCCGTCGTCGCTGCCGTCGTTGTCGTCGTTGTCGTCGTCGCTGCTTGCCGCCGTCGTCGCTGTTGCCGCCGTTGTCGTCGTCGCTGCTGTCGTCGTCGTCGCTGTTGCCGCCGCCGTAGTTGTTGCCGTCGTTGTCGTCGTCGCTGCTGCTGTTGTCGTCGTCGTCGTCGTTGAGCGAATGACGTGTGTCAGCCGAGTGCCCGGATGGGGGCGGGCGGACGGTAGGGAAGAAATCTCGCGAGGTTTAGGGGCCGGGAGGGCGGGGCGAGTGGCCGAGAGGAGGGACCGGGACCGCCAAACGGGCGGGAAAAAACTACAGCTCCCAGAGTGCCAGGCGGCGGCGCGACCGTTGGACGCCGCGACCGTTGCTGTGGGTGCCGCCCGCCCCGCTCTCCCCTCCCCGCCCCGGCCCCGCCCCGCCCCGCCGCCCCGCGCTCCGGCGTCTGGCAACAAACACACGGCGCAGAGAGCGAGAGAGACAGAGAGAGAAAGAAGTCGCTCGAGACTCACGCCATCGGTTGTCGAGTTTTTTTAAAAAAAAACCGTTAAAAAATTCAAAAAGAGGACGAGCTTCTCCGCACTCCCCCCCCACCCTCCCCCCTCCCCCCCACCGTCTCCGTCTCTCTCTCTCTCGCTCGCACGCACGACCGACCGACCGACCGTACGAACGACCGACCGACCGCCGCCGCCTCGCCCAGGATGTCGGAGACCGACCCGAAGACGGTGCAGGATTTGACCGCCGTCGTGAGTGTGAAAATCGCAGGCTCCGTAGGCCCGGCGCAGGCCTCACCCCCTCCCCCCCCCCCTCCACCACCACCACCACCACCTCCTCTCTCTCTCTCTCTCTCTGTTTCCTTCCCCTCTGCAGCTTCTCTTCACTCTTTCCTCAACAGCCCCCACAGCCCCCACCCACCTATCCATCACCCAGAGCTGGCACTGGGGGGGGAGGGGAGGGGGATTCATATTTTTTTTGTTGGTGTGGGGGGGGGAGGGGGAGAGGGGGAATCAGTCGGATGTCTGACTGACCTGATATCTGCAGAAACCCATCATCACCAATTCTTTAAAAGAGTAAAACGCTCCAAAACCACACTGAGATTTGCATATATATGTATTTATATATATTTATACTGCAGGTGTGTGTGTGTATATGTGTGTGTGTGTGTGTGTGGAAAATGGGGAGATGACGATAATAATAATAATAATTATTATAATAACTAATAATCCTTGCATTTGATATAAGGCCTTATCACGTCTCCCGGACATCCCAAAGCGCTTGGCGGAATTATACCGCGAAAGCGAATTAATCGACCGGGTCCTTTGCGGGCGGTATCCCCTCTCGCCCGGGTCCGAAAATTCCCGAGGTCCTCGATTGGATTGGGTTGGAATGGAATGCGCGCTCTCTCTCTCTCTCTCTCTCTCTCTCCCGCTTATCTAATTCCCGGAGAGTATTCATCAGACACAGGTTGGGGGTAACTGCTGGGGTCGCTGACCTCGCTAAAACTGCGTAGCTCGCCATTGGGGAGGGGCGTGGGGGGGGGTAATCGCCTGAGTGTCCTACATGGTTTTGGGGGGCGCGGGGTGGGGGGGGGGGGAGAAGCAAAGCCGTTGTCGTGGTTAAGAGTATCCAGACCAGAACGAAGATTTACAGACATTGCGCCAGCCTGGCTCAGTCGCTTGTGTTCTCGCCGCTTGTGTTATTTTAAGCAGGTCTCCGCTAACTTTTACCAAAATGCAACTTGTTAGATTATATTAAGGCGTATCTGTATGTTTCAGGTTACAACATTGCTTCAACAGATGCAGGATAAATTCCAGACAATGTCTGACCAGATCATTGGTAGAAATATCCTTTCTGTCAAAGATTACAAAAAGCATAAATGCATTTTTGAGTAAATATTGTACTCCTTGTGTTTGGGCTCCATTTATACCTTTCGCAATTTAAGTTTAGTTAGAAATCTTGAATTCCGAGATTTTCACTTTCATTTGGCTGCATTGCCACTGAATTGTACAGTACATTTTATACAGAGAGTAGGACTTTTTTTCCCCATCCTTCTGTTCCTTGCTTTGAGTGTGATATTCATAGAATTATACAGCACAGAAGGAGGCCATTCGGCCCATCGTGTCTGTACTGGCATGATTGTACAGGAGAAAATATATTTTGCAAATTCTCGATGCATCCTTGACCTTTTTTCACTTGATGAGATGAGTGCTCGCATTGATGACTTGGAGAAGAACATTGCTGATCTCATGACACAAGCAGGAGTTGAAGAAATAGAAGGAGAAAACAAGGTAGATTGATGTCGAAATTTTGTGTATTTGTCATTTTATTGAATGCATTCTGCATCCATACAAAGAGACCCATGGCACCTGTGGTGACTTCCCACGGGTTCAAACAGTAAGTTTTGACTGGCCCATATTCGCAAGGTAGATTTAGTTTCACTGTCTCACCCTTATGTGGACGCTACAAATGGGCTGGGTTATATTTGCTTAAGATCTGAAAGTTTGACCATGCAACCTGTGCTTCAGGGTGTTGGTGGGTGCACTTTTATACAGGGATACATGTCCTGTTAGTGGCATACATGTCGTCCTGTTAGCAAGTTGTGGACAACATATATGCTCGAGTCAAAGAGCAGCTGTTGTATTGAAATATTGCTGCACAGCTCTTTGGGAGCTTCAGAGCCATGTTGTATAAAAGTATCTTCAATGGCTTGTTCTGTTTGCAGCCAAACATAATTGTATGACCCATAAAAGCACCACCTCTTCTTATAACGTAATTGTATGACCCATAGAAGCACCACCTTGATAGGTTCACAATGGTTGACGTTTGTGCACAGTGCACTTCCTGTATCGTTGATACTGTAGATACAGCAGTGTGCTGTTTAGTCACTTGATCGTTGCTGATTCAAAGAAATTGAATATAAACCAAAACAGACTTTTAATGGTGCAGTGGTAATATTTTTGGTTTTTTCCCCCAGCGGGAAAGTTTCCTTAATTTGGGATGGTTAGTTTAAATTCAACGCTTTAATGATCTTCAAAATCGAAAAATGCTCTTTAAAAGTCAGATTTTGGATTGTGGAAATCTTAAAATGTTGGTTAACAATGAGTTAATCAGTTGTTTGTTAATCGATTTCCTACTGATTCCCATTTGTCCCATGTTTTTAAACCTATTGTAAAACACTTTGGTATCATACGACTGCACCATCATTCATAGCACAATTTTACAGTTCCAACTTGTGTTTTTTTTAATCCACAGGTTGTCAAGTAACATGAAATGGGTGGCAGAATGAGGTTTTGGTTACCTAATTCAACAGTTTGCTGTGCTGAAGTGTTTTTTATATTGAATGTTATTGATAATTATGGATGTAACCATATGCGTCGTCATACTACTTAAAGTTTAATACACTAGAGAATTGTACACTGGTTTGAAAATCTGTCTCCTGTTTGTTATTCAAAGTAAGATATCATTTTGCTGTTAAACGATTAAAACTCAATTTCCCTTACAACCAAGAAGAACAAAATGTTTTTAATATTCTTTCCCATTAAATGAACTTGCCAGACAGCTCTGAAGTTAAGATACACTTTAACGTGTACATTTGTGCCATTGTCGCTTCTGTTTTTGACATTTTCAGTAAAAGACCATGAAGACCAAATGTGTTTCTGTTCCTTTGTGCAGTTCTTCGTGTGAGCTGTAGGCACTGTTCACCTGAAGGCAGCTTCTAACCCCAGTAGAATTTGTAAGCAAGTCATTGTCATTTTAGGACAACCATTATTAAGTGTTTTACACCACTATAATCCCACCACGGCTGCTTCTTTTGAAGTCACTTTTGCGGGTGATGTAATACACCAATCGCTGAAGTGTAATTATACTAAATCCCCGGCTAACTAATGGGGGGGCGGGGGGAAAATCTGGTCCAGCAAACCGGATTTCCCAGCTAAATGAAATACCAGAATATTTAGCTGTCACAACTGACTTATAGGTAGATGAAATTCTATTAATTTCTTTAAAATATATCAAAATGGATGAAAGAGTGGAGTTTTCACAACTTGTCAAATTTTACTTGCGTAGCTGTTCCGTAAGTACGAATCAGTAAAAGCACGAGTGTTGGACCACGTTTTTCTCTTAATGCATTTAACAATTGTGTTCAACAGAAGCACTGAATATTATTAAATTACCTAGTGCTACAATTCTGTATAATTTTATCTGTTTTAAGTTTTGTATTTTGCACTTGTCTAAAGCTCTTTAGTTCTGCCAGATCCATTGATTCAGTGTACTTGTAATGCTTTAGTGAAATGAAATTCATCTGTATGTTTATTTAATACAGTAGCTCTTCACATAGAAGTGTTCTTTAATGATTGTGCCATTAAGATTTATTTTTCATCCCTTTCCCTTCTGTCCAATGCTTCACACTTTTGTTGACATTTCTTGTTATTTCTTTAGATGTTTAAACCAAGGAGCAAGAGACAATAATAAAAGCTACAGTTTGTTGGTCAGACTGGCAGCCTACAAATAAAAGTGACAGCCAAACTGACAGCTCATACTTCATTTAGTTTTACTCTGCTACTAATCATGGAGTCAGATTTAATTTATTGACTATTGGTTTTGGCAAATAGTTCCCAGCAGAAGTTGAACCATAGCGTATACTCAGTAAGCGCCTTCAGGTGTTTATTCAGACACTGAATAAGTTTATTTTTTGATGAGGCAGAACTTTTTCAATGTATGGATTTTATTTGAGCAATTGCAACGTTTGTATTCCCCCCACCCCCATACACACACACACATTTTTCAAAGTGATGAAAATTTTTTCAAACGCACAGATTTTATTATTTTTTTATTTATTACTGTTTATTATTTATTATTATTGTCTTTTATTAAAAATTATTTAAAAACCTGATAATAATCCCTAAAAAAAAATTGGTCATTTCAATCCACGACTGTTTGTGGCACGCTGCTGTGTGCATTTGGCTGCCGCATTTCGCCCACAAATATACAGTCAATTCACTTTACAATCTATTCTGTGAAGCACTTTGAGACGTCTAGAAGACGTGAAAAGCGTATATCAAATGCAAGGATTATTATTTATTTCTCTTAAATAGAAATAAAGGCTTTGAAATTTTATAACACATTTGTGATTGTGTGTGTGTATACAAGAAAAATTCTACCTGATGTTGAGATTAAAAATCGATTTGCTTCATTAATCTCAAGCAGAGAAGGTCAAATTTACCTATATCAAGACCGCTGCGAACAACCTAAACCAAAACAGATTTGCTGTGAATACTCTAAAACTGTTGAATATTTCTGGCCTGTCACAGACTGCTTGGAATAGCAGTGAAAGATGCTGTTCAAAAGGTAAGCAAAATGTATTATACTATGGGAAAATATTTACTATCACAAATCAGTGAATTTTAGGGCAGTAACGCAGTGTGAGGGTGTCCAAATGCAAATAAACTTGACTTTTCAATATCAGGTTAATTGATGTTTACTGAATGACTGGGAGGGAGATATCTGCAATTCTAAGAAATAGAAAAATGAAGATGTTGAAAAAACTCATGTGAAAGAGAAGGAGTTGTGGCCCTAGGTTATTCACAAAAAGATAGTTTCAAGTTCTCTGTGCAATTGCCTGATAAAATCTTTCAAGTTAATTTTTTTTAAAAGAAAGCTTGAATGAGGCTTAAAAAGAAAATTGAGTGAATTCGTTGGTAAATGTCATTCTATTGTAAATGAAGCAACCAAGATGATTTTGAGCACATTAAAATGTGTTCAAGTTGATCCATTCAGTGTGTCTTAATTAATGTTATCCATTATATTTTCCATCAGTCAGAAAAATAGTTGCTTGATTCATGTTGATGGGCCTTATTTTTCAGCTCCTATTTTATTTATGATTTAATCTTTAAAGAACTTCCTCATTAGTTGTTTAACTGGCAGATGCTATTAATAATTCAATGGGATTTTACCCTGTTTTTTCAAACTATATGATCAAAATCAGCTTGGTTGCTTCATTTGCAACAGAATGACATTTACCAATTAATTCACTCAATTTTCTTTTTAAGCCTCTTTCAATTTTTTAAAAAATAATGCAAATTTCAAAGAATCTCTTTGCAAACCAGCTTGACATATTAACTGATAGAGATGTCATTCTAGGAACACTTAAATTGCAAAGTAGCATTAGTGTATCATATTGCATGAGTAAATAATTCAACCAGTTTATATTAAAAAAAGTCTTATTTAAAGATTAATTTCTCATGCCTTTAAAGTACACATGGAAGAAGGAGGGGTGGAGTAGGGAATACATTCATTTGGGAATTTCTCAGCTTGACTTTCAAAGCATTTGAGAATCCTAATTTAGTTTCTTATTCAATTAAAAAGATATAAAGCATTCAAAGTCAAATCGTACACCACAGGAATTCATATGCATTTCCTTCCATTCTTCCCTGACTTAGTCCCTTACTCTTGCAAGTTTTCAATATTTGTGGAAATAAGACCAACTGCAGTACAATATACATGTAACAACTTGCACTGTATCCTGTATTGCCTTTTATGTAGAGAATAAGTGCTTCACACAGATTTTGTGGAAGCATACGCAACAATAAATGAAAATCTACAAATCCATTTAAAAAAGGTTTGGAGGGAGTGATAGAAACAATTATATGCTAGTGTTTTCACAAAGTTCACATTTCCTTCACTTAATTTGTTTTAACTCCCACATGTTATTACAGGCAAAGTAAGGTACATTGATTGAATTCAGTATTAATATCTAATAATAATAATACGCCTTGCATTTGATATAGTGCCTTATCACATTTTTGTTGAGTCTTAAAGCGCTTCACAGAATATACTGTAAAGTGGATTGACTGTACTTTGTGGGTCACATACATGTGGAGCCACACACACATGGAGTCCTGTAGCTCAGTGGTTAGAGCACTCGCTTTGCAAGTGAGAGACCTGAGTTCAATTCCAGGCAGAGGGCGAAACCTTGGGCAAGTTTCCTTACTCCACACAGAGCCTAATAATAATCCCTCCAAAACCAAAAACAATAATAAATTAGTCATTTTCAATCTACGACTGTTTGTGGGACATTGCTGTGCGCAATTGGCTGCCGCGTTCGCCCACAAATATACAGTCAATTCACTTTACAGTGTGTTCTGTGAAGCGCTTTGGGATGTCCTCCCGACGTGAAAAGCGCTATATCAAATGCAAGGATTATTATTATTATTATCCATGTATATATATTCTGTAAAAAATAAACCTTGTGGTTTGATTGTTCCCCCTAGATCAGTGGAAGCAAGTGTTGGGGAATAAACCACTTTATCTTCACTTCAGTAACTTACAAGGCTAGATGTACTGCAGGCAATCTTTGATAGGGTACCTGGCAGTCTAGTTGTCCTGACAGGTCCACATTAACTCTTGCTCTCAGTGCAAGTGAAGCAAAGCTCAGTGTATGCTTGACAACCAGCTCTTTAATATCATTAAACATTAACATTAAGAAAATTAATATCTATAATATTGAGATCCAGCATCAGGTACAGATCTTTTCAAGCCAATTACATTTTAAAAGTTCACTTTGCACTGACTTCAATTAGCCTGGAGTTATACAACTATTATGAAGTTATGCGAGACTCTGCCTGAATTCAATAGAGGGAATCGCCAAACTCTGTACCAGTGTCTACAGTATTTCTTCCACATTTTTTATTATGCTGGACAAGAGGTTAAACCAAGAAGCAGCCAGACACTCAAGATACTAAAGCACAAACTAAAAACAAGAAATTTCCCTTGGTATCCTTCAAGCATCTCTAGGCTGACTGTGGGACTTCACTGACTCGAAAGGCTGTTGTGCTGCCTACAAAAACAGTCACTACACTCGTCATCAATTACTTGTCAAGCACTTTGAGAAATTTCAATGTGGTAAGGCTAAAAGAATGTTTTACGACTGGATATATACTGTCCCCTGCTGGATAAGTATAATCCTAACCCTCATGGAAGAATACAGGACGGATGGGTGAAACACTTGCTGCTTATATCAAATTCTTGCATATATTTCCCATCTGGATACAAGAAATGTTACTGTCTCTAAACTCCATTATTTGTTGTTCAAACTCATGGTCTTCAGTCACCATTCCTATTTGATTCTGTCTTATAAATAAGTCTCACCCGAGCCATTTATTTGTGCTGTGCCTTCGCATCTGCATTTCAATGAGTTTTTACTTGGGTCTGTAAAAAAAATTCAGGAAGTTGAAATTATTGTTTGGTCTTAAAGAAACCCAGAATAAATGTTTGTGATAGAAATCGGAGTATCCTAGTTCACAGATGCAGCGGTCAGCTGAAGCAACATTTGTCCTGGAAATCTTTGGGAAAAGGGTGAGCTGCAGGAGCCGTGGTGAAATAGCTATTCCGAAAGCTGTTCATTGACTGGCATGTTTGGCCCTAAAGATGGTTTATGTTGCAGCTGCCACAAAATGAACATTTGCAAGGGCTGATCTTTATATATTAGCCTTGTGCTTAACAACAGCTGTAGAAATCCCAACTTTCGAATTAAGGCCGCGGTCAAGAGTATTCCAGAAGTCTGTACAATCATAAATATTAATAAATTTGGATTCCTGGTGCCTTTGCTGTCGAGACAGAGAAAAAAATGAGTCATTCCCACAGCGGGCTTGT